CCCCCCCCCCCCACTGTTGCGGATCCACAGTTTTCGCCCTTATATGGGAAGTTGGTGCAATTTTTAATAATGTACCTCATTTTATAATAAGATTTTGTGTTTAGCTGGAGAATTTATAAGTGTCCACCAGAAGGCTAGAAGTGAATGAATGAAACACTGTTTAAGGAGTGTACTACACCAGCAACGATCGGCCGAGTCATCTTGCGCACACCGGCGCATTCCAGAAAGTTCCTGCATCGATTTAGCACTGACGCGCGTGTTGAAGCCATTCAGGCTCAATATTCGCTCTCAATTATTTAGTAGTTTGCAGTAGAACTTTCTCCAACCGATATCTCGTGTGTTCTCATTATCCTGTAGAGGGCTACTGACTGGAGGTTTCCTCCGGAGCTACAGAATCCTTTACTACCAAGACTGGCCAAGGATAAAATTATCCAAGTTTCCACAAAAAATGCCATCTCTCTAAATTCCAACTCAAGTATCTACCGCCAGCTTCGACAACAAGGGAAGCCGGAACTAGAAGCATTTGTTGTTGAGTAGCAAAAGTAGCCTCCAAGGAAGATGTGGAAAAAATATGCTGTCCAAAATTAAAAAAGTCTTATTCTACGTGCCTAAGTGGAACTTTAGTATCTCTCTACAGAAGCTGATGAAGCCGACCATCAGCTTCGTCTCTTTGGTCTCGTCTGTCTCCATTAAACTTGGTCTTTGGTATTTTCATTTGGATAGCAGAGACGATGGTTCACCATTTCCCAGAGGTACTTCAGGTGAAGTTAAAACTGGTAACTGCTCTTCAAAATTCGATTTATCAGTTGCGAATCGGAGTTACACCAGAGTCATGGAAGCTATTGGTTGGCAACAAGCAGCGTTGGCTCGTTAGACACCAAGACGGTCCTTGCTACTTTCCGAAAAATTTATGGTTAATTTAATTTCAGCCACAATGGAGCCGACGTTTGCCCAAAATTGTTGGTGGCTGATCTCTGCAGAAACTTTAATGGCACTTCTTTTTCAATCAGTTGGCGTAACCGGGAGTATATTCTCAGTCCTCGAGCTGAGAAATTCATACTCCTTTTGGTCCTCCATGAAGTATCCAGAGTGCAACTTTGATGGAAGTGGGTTCGTCTGAATTTAGAAGAAAACTAAATGTAATTACAACCTGCGGACATTGAGCCGGTACATTTCTCTCAAAACTGCGGATTATTCTGAGTTTCTGCTGGTGGAAATTGCCATGCAAATTTGGATGAAGAATACGAAGAATAAGTCCACTTCTGATCGGTTAATTTCGAATTTGGTGCGGTTGAATGTGACAGCTTTCCGGAAAATTCGAAAAAGCTGTTTTACATGCTCCTCTAGCCCATAGTAGAATTGAAAAGTGATCGATGTCCATTATCTTCTTTCTTTTTTGTTGAAATGCCCCATTTCACTAACAGAGACCATAAATCTTGTCTGTCCATCTTCGGTTTCAAAATATAATCCAGTTTCCACTGCCGACGTGTTAGTCATTCACCCTCCCCGGCCATGATTTCTACATGGAATATTGAATTAACATTCGAGGCAGCACAAAATTAGCGTCTTTCTCAAATTATCTCTCTCTCCCCGGGAGCGATTCTGAATGGGAAACGCCCAAAGCAAAGAGCTGCAAGTGAAATACAAAATGTGGCCGAATTTCATTTCTTCTTACAAAATGTCTAAAATCAAATTGAATGGGCTATTGTTCAAAAAAATTTATTGACTTTTGGAAAATTTTTTTACGTTAACTAACTGTTTGCAGATTTTGTGGCTATCACTTCAACGCTCAAACGAGTTGTATTGAAGTAGGTAGGTAGAATCCAACCGGTTTGCAAGAGGGTTTGCCAGGAAAATAATTTATATCAAATGGCAGACGTCTTGATGGTTATCATTAGCCCTTTAATTGATTTCAGGCCTCACAGAGGGGAAGGAATATCAAATTGGAAAAGTTGAGAGGGGGGAACAGAAGAGTGTTTCAAAGATGTAAAAGTGACAGGCACAAAGGTAGAACAAAGGTGAGGTGAGTACTGTGGATATAGTCGCATATGGCATAGGGTGAGGTGATGGTAGTTTGAAGTGAGAAGTCAACTGCCGACTGATAGACTTTTTTGCCGTATGAGTATACGTTGCCCAGGGTGCACCAAGTGGAGGTAAGTCTATCACAAGGGGGTTTGCCAGGAAAAGAAAAGGATATCGAAACAGTTGTCCAATGATGTTTTTATGCAAGTGACGTAAATTCTGCTTTACGAGAGCAATATTTCACGGCCTAAGGTTCGCTTGCAATTGTCAATATATAATTTTTAATTTGTGTCAAATAGCAGGATTTTTATGATAGTTATCATTAGCCCTTTAGTTGGCTTTGGGCTACAAAGAGTGGAGGAAAATCAGATTCACATAAAGTGAAGTGGGGGGGGGGAACAAAGAGGCAGACACAGGGGTAGAGAAAAAGGTGTGGTAAGGTGAGTACTGTAGAAGTAGTCGAATATGACATTGAGTGGAATCATGAGAGTTCGAAATCAGAAGTCAACTGCCGATTGATAGACTTTTTTGCCGTATGAGTATACGTTGCCCAGGGTGCACTGAGTGGAGGTAAGTCTAGCACACACCCCGGATGATAGAACATGTTAAAGGGGAATCGCACGGCATCTATGCTCACTTCGAAGCCTGTTTGGATTGTTCAATAGAAGTTTCAAGTGTTAAATATCGAATGAAAGCACAAAGGGTCCGAAGGGTTGCATGATCGAGTCCTGTCAAACGCAACCTGACAAAATACTTCCTCCGTAACTTTGGGAAGCTGATTTCACCTCTAAATTTTTAGAAGCTTGATTGATTGCTGGATTTAAGTTATGTAATCTCATTGTTTCTAAGAAAGTGGAGGTCGAATAAGGTTCCAGGGGGCTGCTTCAAGATCGTTCAGTAGCACCATCACAATGGTTTGCTAATACACCAATGATGATGCTTCCTATCCATGTGTCCTTTCTGTGATTATCTGCGTGCTGTACCGATTACAAGCCATCTTGGCAATTGAATTTGAATTAGAAAAGGCCGAGTTCCTTGGAATGAGGTCATTGTGGGTCGTACTGAGAGAAAGGTGGAAGTCTCGAAAGAGGACCAAGAGAATATGATGCCGTTGTTGAATGCAATAATGTCTGGTAGTTCGTGAGATGAAAATAAATGTCAAAGTCTGTAGATCGACGTACCAATTGTGACGAATCATGGCGGAATCACATTGTATTTAAATCTAGCAAGGTGTGCAAGGTGTGCGATAGACCTACCTCCACGTGGTGTACCTTGGGCAACGTATACTCATACGGCAAAAAAGTCGATTAACCGGCAGTTGACTTCTGACTTCTAACTACCATCACACATATTCCATCACTTCTCCTCACCTTTTTCAACCTTTTTGTGTGTCTCTTTTACATCTTTGAAACACTCTTCTGTCTCCCCCCCCCTCAACCCCCTTATCGACTTTTTGACACTTTGATGTTCCTCCTCTCCTCTGTGAAGCTTGAAGTCAGCCACCAAAACACCTGCCATTTGATATGAATAAAAGTTCTATAATCCATTTTATTTAAAACGGCAAATAAGGTCCAATTAGAAGACATTGCAAGACTGTGTCGTATTACCACATATGCCAGCGGGCGATCGATGCTGCGAGATTGAATTCGTGGAGGAGCAATCGAAAGCAAACTTCACTTTCACTCTCGACAGCGTTGAAGCTATTCCGCTTTGCCTTGGGGCAAACACTTAACCGGGGGACATTAGGGATATCAATTGCACATATGCGCAATGACCTTCGGAAATGTCATCTTACATGATGGAATGTAA